ATACAAAAGAAACCGGCTGATGTCTTAATAATTAAAAGGGATATACAAACAACAAACCAAGGGAGTGACCTTGGTAATTTTCTTATACTGGATTTACAAAAGAGACTTGTTAAAGTTTTGAAGAATTTTGTGAGAAGGGACAAAGAAAAAATGAGAAGAAATGAAGTTCTATGACATTATTTGGAGGGACTAAAGATTGTTAGAAGTAAAGAGTAGGAATATAAAGTTGGTTTATTTGATCAAGGTTAAAATAGATATGTTGTTATTTCCGGTAACCCTTAATGGACTTTTGCTGACAACAGGACTGGAATGGTGATGCACTTTATGGATTTGTTTATAGATAAGAGATAGGATATGTGGAGAAGAGATCATTTGCTGTATTTTAAGAGAAAGCGATGTTACTAAAATTGTTTATAATTGTTGTGATGAAGGTGGGAAATCACTTCTTTATATATTTCTTTACTATGTTCTTTTTTCTTTTCTACACCTTTTACTTTTTATTCTTCTATTTTTCCAATTTGTATTAGTTTTTACTGTTGTAATTATAATCTTTAATAAAACTACTATTAAAAAAAAAAGATGCGTCTTTTCCTAAGCTCACATAGATCCCAGGAAAATACATGTTTGAGGTAAGGAGGCACTGACAGCTCTTTCATGCCTGCTTCAAAGCCCCTTGTTGCACCCTGTTGATAGCTTGTTAATTTAAATGCATATAATCCTGGGATCGCCCACCCCCTTTGAAGCAATTTTTCTCCTTTCAGTCTGAAGCCTTGCACGTTTCCTAGAGCTTGGTGACAATGTGGGGATGCAGCTACTCTCTCTATGCATTCCTTGCCTATCACCCTCAGTTATTTGAGAAGGGGCAGAATTCTACTCAATTCACACATGCTGCTGAAATATGATGGGAATCATTTCCTTAGGATGTAATCCCACACTAATGCAGAATATACACAGTTACCAGAATTACAAAGGGCAGAGCCAGTTGCAGAAGAAGAAGAAGCAGCAGCATTATATAAGAAAGGTGTACAAGGGTCTCTGTGTAAGGGTCTGGTACTTATTATTGCGACTGAAGCTCAAGACTGACCTCTGATATTCTCTGATATTCTTCACTCCTGACTGGCAGGAGGCTCCTAGTGCATTGCAGCTTTTCTTCATGTTCTGCAAGAGAGGGCTTTAGGTTCCCAAAGGGCCGCTTTTTTGGGGGGGGGGGGGGTTGTTTTTTTGTTTTTTGTTTTCCAGGCATGTTGCTGCTTGAGTTCTTAGAACAGTGTTTTTCAAGCTTGGCAACTTTCAGATGGATGGACTTAACTCCCAGAATTCCCCCATCCAGCAATTCTGGGAGTTGAAGTCCACCTATCTAAAAATGGATGAGGTTGAGAAACACTGGTCTGATCTATTTAAGACAGTGTTTTCTAGACTTGGTACCTTCAAGATGGG